GAATCCGAAATGATGCTCAGATAGCCCTCGCCGTTCGTCTTATTCGACGTGCAGTCTGTTACAAATTATTCGCTCGAACTGTTTGCCAACCTCGTCGAGTACGCTCAGTGCCCTATATGCAGACGGGTCCTCAGGTGGTTTGTAGCCTTTTGGTAGCAACACCAGTCTCTGGCGTTTCCTCCTTGTAGGAAAGCGGAGATCCTTCTTGCGTCTGCGCTTTTGTTGAAGTTCCGTCGGGTCCTGGGGTTTTATTTGTCTGTATTCAAAGCACCTCTTCTGCGTCCGTCCATTTTACCGTCGATGCTACGGCGTACGTGGTGGCTATGTGCAGCGTTGGTTGCGAGGGGAAGAGCGTGGTGACGATTACTCTTAGCTGGACCTCGCTTGTGGGCATTGTGGACATCCTGCACATTCTTCCCACGAAAAATGTGTAGGCTACTGCAAAGGCTTGCGCGTCGGCTTAGGCGCATATGCTCTTCCACGCGGCGTGCTTGCTGCGATTAATGGCCTTTTTAAGTGCGGCTCTCTTCGCTCTGTAGGCTTCCTGCATTTCCTGACAATTTCTTCTCCGATGTGCCCGCTAGTAGCCTTTTCTGGCTTTATTGCATTCTATTCTGGCCGTCTCTATTTCCTGGTATCACCAATAAACAGGTCTATGCCCGTTTATACGTGTTCTCTTTTTAATAATGGTTGCATTACATGCCTCTTCTGCCGTTCTAGCTATGCGGCCTAAGTTGCATGCCCATTAGCAGCAACGCTTCTGGGCTAAGCGTATCTTAAGTCCATCCTTACTGATCCTTGTGCTAGTCTGCGACGTGGCATCTTATCGCATGGTTGTCGGTGTGTGTGTATACGTGTATGCTGTATGTTTATGTCGCGCGCCTCAAACATGGGCTGGCAAAGGTTAAGTCGACAATTGTTGAAACCGTTGAAACACAGTTTTGACGCGTCGTGCTTAGTTCGGCATCGTGCGACTTTTTGGCGTGTACTTTTTGGCGTGTACAGCCCATTCTTAGAAGTTCCCTGGCCTCAGTGCACTCTATGCCGCTAGCACTTTCGCTATACTGCTGGAGATCTTTATTGTTTTGAACAGTTTTGAGGACGTTGGCGTTTCCTCCGGGTTTTTACATTTAACCAATGTGGCATCTGGTCTGCTTCTTCTTGGCGGTTGCGTGATGGTCTTTTTGTTCCTCTTGGGACCCACTTTTTCCATTTGTGGTTTCCGGGCCCTTTGTAATTTTCTGTGGGCTTTTTTGTGTGGTCCCGCGTGTATCCACATTTAGCCGCCGTGGTTTGCTCGTAGCCGCTGGCGTCGGCATCGGACTCCTCGTCGACTTTACGGCAGGACTTTTTCTCGGGGCTTCAAGCAGTTCAGGGGATGTTTGCACTGCAATCTTACTTCTAGTGCTGGATGCTTTGTCCTGAGCGTGTGGCTGCTTAATCTGCTGATCCTCTCAGAGTTGTTGCGCTGGTTGCTCGCTTGACAGTTGTTGCAGTGGCTGCCATCTGTATCTCCTTCATCCGGTCATTATCATCTTTCGTCCCTTGGTTGATATGCCGCAGTGCTGGTTTTTACCCTTCTACAGTAGCGAGAAACATGTCCAATAGTGTGCACGCCATGCCGTTTTGATTTTTTTCCCTTTTGATTTTTATCGCTTGCTGCGATAAAGAGGCTGGGTACTAACCTTGCAGAGGGTACTTTAATTTTGTCGAGGAATGTGTAACGTATAGAAGGAGACATCTCCGACCCCTTAAGGTATATATATTCTTGATAAGTATCAACAGCCGAGTCGATATAACCATGTCCATCTGTCTGTTTCTATACGAACTTGTCTTTCAGTTTTAAGGCTATCGGTATGAAATATTGCAGAAGTCCTTCTTTCTATTGCAAGCAGTACATATGTCAGAGCCAGCTGGATCGGACCATTATATCATATAGCTGAAATAGCATCGGTCGAAAATGAAGTTGTTGTATGAAAAACATTTTTGTTTATCAAGATATCTTGACCAAACTTGGCACTTTTTGTGTATATGCACAATGCACATGTATATGCACAATCCTATTTAGATCGGACCACTAAATCAAATATCTGCCATAGAAACGATCGATCGAAAACTAGGTTGTTGATTAAAAATATTTTTTGTTTATAAATATATGTTGACCAAACTTGGCATTAACTATTTTCCCTGTGCTTCCTAGATACGGACAAAGCACTATGAGTAGTATGAAATGGTTGGGTCTGCAAGGGTCTGTTTTTTTTTTTTGCATGGAGGCCAACCGAATGTATGGTTTGCTCAACACCTACGTACTAAATCCCTATGTAGTATCCCTATCCCGCTATTTTCGCATCGTCACAGATCCCTCTGGATGCTTATAATGACCTGGGTCGGATCTTTCCAATTCTGATTTCCTTCCAGCATGAACGTCAGTAGCCGCAGGTGGGGGGCACATATTCTACTATATTTCTATACCTTGCACAGTAGTACAGCACGTGTTCCGGGTCTTCGTCCATATTCAGGCATATGCGATTCAGGCACTCTGGAGTATCCTCGGGCCTCAATCTGTGAAGATTCTTCCTATATCCACAGTGTTCAGTAAAAAACTGTTTAAGGTGGAAGTTCCCTGTTGGTACATTGCTCCAGGTTGGTAATGAGCTGGTGGGTCTTCCTTTGTTTCATATTCTCTCTTTTGTTGCCAGCTCAACATTGATGCTGCTCGCTCCGATCTCCGGATGACGTCCATGGAGACGGCATCATCCATCGCTATCCTGCTTTCGTATTTTTTCGCTATTTCCCTCTGAAGTACATAGTCACCATCTGGAATCTAGAGATAACGCGGAGTACGCTGAGCCTGTAAGAGATTGTTAGCTTCCTTTCGAGGTATTTCTGGTTTTCTTCCGTTGATGACCATATCGGTGCTGCATACAGTAGAACCAAAGACAATATAAACACTAAGATGAGTAACGCCATACAACAAAATGCTACTATGCAGCATGATTTTTGGAAAATTGAGAACGAAAACGAAATCTGTAGCATTGCGCTCGCACAGCCGAGAGTTCGAAAAAGCTAAAAATAGAATTTGAATGAATTTGAGCAAACATCTTTGAAAATGAATTTGGGGCCGATCCGATGGGTAACAAAAAAGTTTTATACCAAAGTTTTTTCCGTATTAATTACTGTTGTGGGTGGAATTTCCCAAATCGCTGAAACACGTATTTATTAAGTTCTTATGTAGAGCTCTGAAAAGAAGTTTGAAGCAAATTGGATTAAGCTTAAGAATTTTCCAATTAAATCGCAAAAACGCACTTTTTACCGAGGATGCGAGGATAAATTTGAGCGCAAAACGTCATCCACCAAATCCTTGAACCCTATTTCCAACAAGGAGAAATACATTTTTGGAAAAGTGTGAAACACCCCCCAAATGAATTTCAACAAAGAACTTTGAAATTGAGTTTGAGGCCAATCGGATGGTAAACAAAAAAGTTGCACACAAACGTTTTTCGCTATTTTTCCATACTTGCGGGTGGAATTTCCGAAACCCCGTCTTAATGTGCACCTTCATCACATTAGGTAACTACAGGGAAAATTTCAGCTTCATACGGTTTGGGTTGTGCGTTGATCACCAATCAGTCAGTCAGTCAGGACAAACAGTTTTTAATATAAAGATATATATATTTATATATATTTTTGCGATTTATACTGCTTCTGTGAAAGTTAATAAGTTATCAAAAATTAATCGTTGTCAGTTCGCTCCACATTGTCTTCACTCGCAATCAATATAACTTATATAGTTGCTCGAAACCAAGCGTTTGTACATAAGTGCAGTGCACGCATACATACACATACAGCAAGCCAGCTGCAGTCCTCTTATTTTCGGTACGCTTTGTGCTATGCGGTAGCTGTGCAAGTGTTGTTTAATGCACTTTCGTTGTCAAGAAACGCTCTCTCTCTCTCTACTCTCTATTGATCAGGCATATAACATTTTTGAAGTTGTTTGACATAGTTCCTATTAATCGAAAATTCGATAAGTCTCACATATAGATACAGTGTTAAAATATGAGACCTAATAAGAAACTTTTGAGAAAGATATGATTATCATGCCCAGCTTGAAGATATTTGTATAATGACATTTGTTTAAAAACAGTTAAAAGATCTTTAAGTCCTGCAACGACTGAAGGCATGCCCGATGCGACTCCACGAATACATCTTCCGCATCTGGCTCCTCCCAAGTGAAGTCGAAGGTACTCAGCAGTTGTATTAGCCTGTGCGAAACTCAAAACGATCATGCGATTCCAAGTATAGAGAAATTCAATCATCTGATCTGATGTCTCTATGGTAAAGCTCTAGGCACTGTTACAATTATTTGAAAGTATTAAACAGACTAAGGAAAGTCTTATATTCAGTGAAAATAATGCAACCTTTTTTTGCATGATTGAAATCTATGATTGATGACGTCCCCGTAATCTAATCATTTTTTTCTGTTGGCCGCAAATCATCTATCCTTTCAGGTCACCATTGATGCTGCTCTCTTTGATCTCTGGATGACGTCCATTGAGACAACAACATATCAAGTATATCCCTCTGGTGGCATGCCCGCCGGTACACTGGCTGCCTCGTAAAACACCGTTCGGAATCCAGAGACAATACGGAGTGCGCTGAGCCTGTAGAGGATTGAGGCATTTGTGGCTTAATTCCGCTGATGCCCATATAGGTGCTGCATACAGTAGAACGGAGGCTACAACTCTCGCTAGAAGCCGACGTCTACGTGCCCTGGGCCGTCCTATGTTAGGTCGCATCCTCGAAAAGGCCGCCTGCATTTTGGCTGCATTCTGGCTAACATAATCTATGTGTAGCCGAATCCTGTTGTCTAACATGACCCCCAGATATATTTTGGCAACTCGATTTTAACTTGACTATTTTGTTGCATGTGATAAGCACAGCCTCCGTTTATGGCCTGCCAGGTCCAGGCCAGCGCCACTCATCCAATTGGCCACGTTCCTTAAGGCTGCATACAGGCTGTACACTTGTTATCGTAGCAGAAACAAATTTTTAAATTATTCCAAAAAGAAAAACAAATACCTTAAAATTATTTCAACATGAATAAATCGGATGCAAGCACACGCCAGGGCCACTACAAGGCCAACACTCTCAATACGCAGGACTCGCGCATGCGTCGCCATGAGGTGACCATCGAGCTGCGCAAGTCTAAGAAGGAGGATCAGATGTTTAAGCGCCGTAACATCAACGATGAAGATCTGACCTCGCCTCTGAAGGAGTTAAATGGACAGTCGCCGGTGCTGCTATCGGTTGATGAGATTGTGGCGGCTATGAACAGCGAGGATTCGGAACGCCAATTCGTGGGTATGCAGCAGGCGCGCAAGATGCTTAGCCGCGAGCGCAATCCACCCATTGATCTTATGATCGGACATGGCATTGTTCCTATCTGTATACGCTTCCTTCAAAGCTCCAACACCATTCTGCAGTTTGAGGCTGCCTGGGCCTTGACCTTGTACCAACATTGCATCGGGTACATCGGAGCAGACGCGTTGCGTCATTGAGCAGAATGCTGTGCCCCATTTCATTGACCTCCTCCAGTCGAAGTCGCTTAATCTTGCCGAACAGGCCGTTTGGGCGTTGGGCAATATTGCGGGCGACGGCGCTGCGGCACGTGATATCGTAATTCAGCACAATGTCATCGATGGCCTTCTGCGTTTAATCAATAATGAGACGCCTCTGTCCTTTCTCCGCAACATTGTCTGGCTGATGTCGAATTTGTGCCGCAACAAGAATCCATCGCCGCCCTTTGAGCAAGTAAAGCGTCTGCTGCCAGTGCTGTCGCAGTTGCTGGTCAGCCAGGACATACAGGTGTTGGCCGATGCGTGCTGGGCGCTGTCGTATGTGACAGATGATGACAACAACAAGATACAAGCGGTGGTCGATACGGATGCAGTGCCACGCCTGGTAAATCTTCTGCAAACCGACGAGCCCAGCATAATTGTGCCGGCACTGCGCAGTGTCGGTAACATAGTCACTGGCACGGATCAACAGACCGATGTGGTCATAGCTGCTGGTGGCTTGCCCAAGCTTGGCTTGTTGTTGCAACACTCGAAAGGCAATATAGTTAAGGAGGCTGCCTGGACAGTGAGCAACATTACGGCCGGTAATCAGAAACAGATTCAGGCAGTCATCGACGCGGGTATCTTCCAGCAGATACGTCATGTATTGGAAAAGGGCGACTTCAAGGCACAAAAAGAGGCCGCCTGGGCGGTAACCAATACAACCACGTCGGGTACTCCCGAACAAATTGTCGATCTCATTGAGAAGTACAAGATATTGAAGCCATTCATAGATTTGCTAGATGCTAAGGATCCGCGTACCATCAAAGTGGTGCAAACTGGTCTTTCGAATCTGTTTGCTCTCGCCGAGAAGCTGGGTGGCACGGAGAATCTATGCCTGATGGTGGAGGAACTAGGTGGCCTCGACAAACTGGAAGCTTTGCAGCAGCACGAAAACGAAGAAGTCTATAAGAAGGCCTATGCCATAATAGATACTTATTTCAACACTGGTGACGATGAGGCCGAGCAGGAGCTAGCGCCGCAGGAGGTAAATGGTGCACTGGAGTTTAATGCCACGCAGCCCAAGGCGCCGGAGGGCGGTTATACCTTCTAATGTGCCCGCCATCAATACACATACAACACAGTACACCACACCATTTTTTTTGTTCTTATGCGACCGCGCCTACACCATCTACACGCGATGTACACTTTTCGAGTTTGTCACTCCGAAGCACACTCTAAAACCCAATGCCGTAAAGGCTGAGGAAGAGGCAAATACCTACTCTACTATATGACCAATGCCTATACCTATACCTAAACATAACATTGTTTGTTGTGCATTTCCGCATTGTCCCGCATGCGGCCATGAAAACGCATCTTAGGCGCGTTCTTGGTGTTTTTTGTTTTCGCCTGTTAATACACACACTCGCACACGAATACACCCAAACACACACACAGTAAAACCACCCAGTTATCTGAACCACCACTAAACACCTGCCCAGCTGTGCTGGTAGGCAGGCGGTTGTGATTTACAAGGTTAGAACACAGTATACAAGGTCAGGACGCTGCCTGTTGCGTTTGCATGGCCAAATGAACTGTTTTGAGTGTGCTAATTTCATTGAAATACCCTCTTTTGGATATAAATGTATATTTAGGCTGTTAGTTTATTTATTTATGAACATGTATCGTATTTTGTGAAATCCTCGACCACACAACCGCTTTTCATGCAAGTTTTTCAAACAACGAATTTAATAAATGTGTCCTCATCCTATTGTAAAAAAAAGTACTGCCTTGAAGCCTTAAACTGAAAATTGTGAGGGATAAGCACGAGTCCCAATTTAAATTAAGCAACTATTGAAATAAAACTGTAAATGAATACGCTGCCGCTTTTACTTGTTTTATTTTTTGCCGCCACTACTAGAACCAGATTAGCTGTGCATCCCTGGGAAAATTGCACTCTCGACGTATATTATATTCCACAGGATATTCTCTGTGGGACCGCTGCTGAGACCATGTAATTCCAAGCACCGTCATCCGTATCATAACTCAACACCCGATCGAACAAAGAGTTGGACATTATAAGGGAAAGGGAAGACTGTATCCCTATTCGATCTAAGGATTCCAGTATGCGAAACCAGCTTGCTGAGTTAAATGTATTACGAATGTCCAACGTAACCACCGCCCAATACTCCTTATCTCCCCACCTTCATCGAGTTATCTCTATTGCTTTAGCAGCTATATCCACTCCGCCTTACTTTCGTCATCCGTAGACCTTGCATTCCAAAATCCGTACTTGCACTCTCGTCGTATATTATATTTCACAGGATATTCTCTTTGGGACCGCTGCTGAGACCATGTAATTCCAAGCACCGTTATCCGTATCATAACTCAATACCGATCGAACAAAGAGTTGGACATTATAAGGAAAAGGGAAGACGGTATCCCCTTTTTGATCTAAGGATTCCAGTATGCGAAACCAGCTTGCTGAGTTAAATGTATTACGAATGTCCAACGTAACCACCGCGCAATACTCCTTATCTCCCCACCTTCATCGAGTTATCTCTATTGCTTTAGCAGCAATATCCACTCCACCTTACTTTCGTCGACCGTAGACCTTTCATCCATATACAAAATTATGATAGTGTGCGTGCATGGAAGGTCCAAAAAGTTTTAATGCACACATTAAACACACAGCCTTACCAACATCAAACAGCGAAAATGCAAGAATTTTGACGTTGCAAACCGTTTAATTATTTCATGTTATTTATCCCTTCAAAAGGAAAGAAATGCGTCTGAAATTTAATTAAAAATGTAATTTGTGTGCATTGATGCTTGTACGGACACATACACTCACATATATTTAAACGATCCCAAAGCATTGAGACCACTGAGAGTACGACAAAGCAGTTTCCTAAAGTTGGAGCAAGATAAATAAAGCGATGCCGTTCCATGGGAGTGGGAACGAGTGGGATATATTTTTATCGCAAAACACTCGCACACGAGCATTGCAGTGCGAAATTAAACATGAAATTCAAAAACTCTTGACGAAAAATGACTTCCCACAAAATGTAATCAAAGCTTTATTAAAAAGACGACAAATCGAAAGGAAATAGCTAATAGAATCGGTCAAAATATACAAATCCCTAATATATGTACCAAGACTATCACATCTCCTCCCGAACTCAGACTACTACAACAACTGAGAAATAAAAGTACCACAGAAACCTACAAACACATTTAACAATATAAAGTCAAAAATTCCTGTGATCGACAAAAGCAACGTCATTTGCTATAAACCATGAGGCGGGGAAAACAACAACCAATGTAATAGTGTTTACATAGTTACAGCCAATTCAAAACTAATAACGAGAACCAGACAACTTAAATCGTATTTAAAATTAAGACATCAGAATAATATACAGAAAACAGCTCTTGTGACCCACTGTATGAGAAGCAAATTTTAATAAAACAACAATTTTACAATAAGAACAACACTACAACAAACGACACACATTGGAAATGCTACACATAATCAACACATAAACTAACAAACGACTTAACTACTAGACAGACACAGAAAATTGCGCTCACTTGTACAGACACCTCTTAAACATCATCAGTTTCAGTCTCTACATCAAAAATAATGTATGTAAAATATTTAAATTTATGTTTTATCCTAATGTATTTTAATTGCTAATTGTTTTTTGTATCTTGATGTAGGTGCCCTGAGGACGGTTTGCCGACGTGCAACCGAAATATATTGGGGAAAAAATTAAAATAAAATTGTTCACTGCTTGTTTTTACAAACCCAGACCTCAAGCCAGCCAACAAATATTTTAAATAATTTGTTATTATTTTTATTCCCCAATTAAGAAATAATGGAGTACCAAGCATTAAAAAAAGAGTAAATTAAACACAATGCTAGCTTATTCGAGCAATGACTTTTAGTTTAACTCGAGGAAAAATAATTGAAACAAAAAAAGATTATAAAATGCATTTTTAGTGCTAAAAAATTAGGCCTTTTTTTGCTAAAAATAATAATAGTTGAATTAATACTTTTATCTTAAGAAATATTATAAATATTTGCATAGTTTGGATTAAAAATATATATGCGAATAAAAATTTGGGATAGATCATGGTCAGCGCTAGAAAATTAACGAACTTTTTGTATATTAACACACATGCAAACATTATTGCTTTTACATTCTATTTTATACTTGTTCGCTCTTGTTTTCCACGCGTTCCGTCTGACATCGTCTTTTGAGTTGAATGACATTCTAATCGTTCGACTGACCGTTGAAAAGGAGCTATACTCGACAGAGGCAGATCTGCATGAAGCAGATAGAAATTTCCAGCGTTGTTTAAAGAAACAACCCATCTGACATTCGCGATCCTTCAGGTTAAACTCTAACTTATGGCAATGCGTCTGGCTCGTTTTTGCAATACGGTGTTTAACTAAGCTTATTGAGTTGAGCGAGTCATCATGCCCTAAAGCTACTGTTCGATAATTTGCCGACTGTTGCGGCATGCGTAGAGAACCTTCCGACAATTAAGTCTGAAGTGTCGCAAATATTTCAAAGCACAGGTATCAAATTAATCAAATAGTTTTCTGTACTTCGGGGGTCTGTGGGAGGCTGACGTGGAAACTCCAAAGCACCAAAGCCTGCTGCTAACGGCCGAATTTCTACAGAGGACTCTAGTCGCAGTTGAAGGCGTCCTCAATTCCAGGCCTTTGGGAGCGCTAAACGAGAATTCAAGCGACGGCAAGGCTCTAACGCCAAGTCACCTACTAGAGCATTTAAGGGTTCTATTAACGGGGTATCCCAGACCGGCAAGGTCTCGCCTGCTTGAATCGATGGCCAGCTGACTAGTCACTCAAGCGACAATTCTGTCAAAGAAGTATGTTCTCGGACTCCAAACTGAAAATTCAAAAGGCCGATTCACAAGTTGGCAACGCTGCCTATCAAATAATGCCCCCAAGCGCTTCATGGTGGCCGGTATTGTCACAGATATGAATATATATAATATATTGAATAATAAACTGAATTTTAAGTCAGATAAAAATATCTAGTCGAATGCACTAATACGTTGATTAAGCAAGGAATAGTTCTGATGATTAAGAACGAAGAGGATAGCAATAGAACATCGCAACCTATAAAGTAGAATAATATGCATACTAAGAAACTGTTCAAACTATTGCATTCTTAAAGTTAAAAGCTGGCAACATGAAGATAGATTAAGATTATTGGAATCTAGTTCCTTTAATAACTCTGCAAACACACACTATTCGCTCATGAATATTAACGAGTAATGACGCCGCACTAAGCTAAGAACATGTTGCATGGGAGAGTCTCCAGGGGTATCGACACGATACATCGATATATTGGTGAGGGCCCTAAGCACCTTAGAGCTTCCCAAATTTTGCAGGGGTGGCAACGTTCAGCTGAGGATTTACTGTCTTGAGCAAAAATAACATGGAAGAGCGTAGGTGTGTGCCCGCCCGATTCGCCTTAGGGGAATTAGCGAATTTATGCGCTTTGTAATGCCATTGGCCTATCACGGTCATTGACTTACCTATGCCATTTTTATATATTTAGCCGTGGATCCAAAGAAATTGCGCATGATAATCGATGCCGAAGTGCAGAGCGCACTCACATCAGAAGCGCAGGAATCCGTGAAAAGGGAAGCTAGGCTAAGGCAGAAGCTTGAACATCAAATTTCTCAGGTGTCAAGTAAGTTAAAAATACACAACTTTCGGCAGAATTAAGGCTGGGCGGCATGTTTAGCCTATTGTACTACGATGAGGAAAAAATCACGTTACTCGCAAACAAGAGCCATTTTACTTATGATATGACTCTGGCAATGGGGATTTGTGAGAAATTTAGGTATGACGCGCTTCGCCGGCACTACCTAGTTACGAAAGATAAGCTTTCGCGGCAAACTTTGCTGGGGCAAGAAGAAAGAATTCTACCAGAGCAGCGCCTACAACGGCGCCAGCAAGAGCAGGGTGGCCAGGTCAAGTAACCTTCGTTTCAATAAGCAGAACGGCCAGTACACATAGAACCCAAATTAGAGCTGGTGCTCCAGGAAGTCGACGCTACTTCCTCAAAGCTTAGGGAGCTAACAAACTTCCAGAAATCCTAGATCGCAGCCAAGTTTAGCGCAAACCAGGGTCAGTGAAATAAGCGTCCCGCTCAAAAAAGTCAAAAGGCGGAATATATCTAAGCAAGCGAGCCAAAGGGCTCGTAATATAACGTCTCAGCACAAGAGTGAATTATAAAAGCGATAGCGCTAATTTTTAAGAGAAAGTTTCCTGCTGCTATTCATTCAG